TCGTTGGGCCCTCGGGGGGGTCCAGGAGGAACAGGCATCGGACCCCTGCAGATGGGACAAGGCCACGCCCCCAACAGTGAGTCCAACACCAACACCTACACCACCTACACCAACATCAACACCAACACCACCTTTAACTTCTTGGGTTCTTTTTAAAGACAATGCAGTAAAGTGTATAAAGTCTATAAAGTGTCAGCCTGATGGACCTGGCAGGTCGCTCAGACTGACCACGCCTACAGGAAGTAACAACTGCTGATACACGACACGTCACCACCAACACCGGTGACAGTTCTGAAGATGCAGCAGCAAAAACATGTCAACAAGGTAAACACACTTTACTGCATTGTCTTTAAAAAGAACCCAAGAAGTTCAAGTATATAAGAAGACAAAATTAACATCTTTTGCTTACCAACACCACCTACATGACAAACAACTACACCAACACCTGCACCACCTACACCAAAACCTACACACACAAACAAACACCACCTCCACCAAGACAAACACCACCTCCACCAAGACACACCACCACCTCCACCAAGACAAACACCACCTCCACCAAGACAAACACCACCTCCACCAACACACCACCACCTACACCAAGACAAACACCACCTCCACCAAGACAAACACCACCTCCACCAAGACAAACACCACCTAGACAAACACCACAAACACCACCTCCACCAAGACAAACACCACCTCCACCAAGACAAACACCACCTCCACCAAGACAAACACCACCTCCACCAAGACAAACACCACCTCCACCAAGACAAACACCACCTCCACCAAGACAAACACCACCTCACACCACACACAAGCACACACCACAAACAACAACACCACCTACACCACAAACAACAACACCACCTACACCACAAACAACAACACCACCTACACCACAAACAACAACACCACCTACACCACCAACACAACAACACACAACACCACCACACCACCTCCACACAAACACAAACAACAACACCACCTACACCACAAACAACAACACCACCTACACCACAAACAACAACAACACACCGACACCACAAACACAACAACACACCACAAACACCACCACACCAAGACAAACACCACCTCCACCAAGACAAACACCACCTCCACCAAGACAAACACCACCTCCACCAAGACAAACACCACACCAAGACAAACACCACCTACACCAAGACAAACACCAACAAAAACACAAACACCACCACCAACATCATAAACACACACCACACACTTCTGCTGTTCCTCTGTGTTTTTAAAGCTCTGTGTGTGTGTGTCCAGTGGGGGGCAGTATGGTGCAGCAGATGCAGCAGCCGCAGTTCCAACAGTTTCAGCAGAACACAAACCTGCAGCAGCAGTTCCAGGTCAGAGTGTGTGTGTATGTGTTTTTGTGTGTGTGTGTGTGTTTGTGTGTGTGGAAGGAGAACAAGAAGTTAACGACTCTGTCACTGTGTGTTTAGCAGCAGCTCAGACCCCAACCACTGCAACAGCACCACCCCCAACTACACCAACAGAACCAGAACCAGGTACTGACTCCAACCGACCGACCCGACCGAGACCGACCCCACCGAGACCACCCCACGACCGACCGACCGACCGAGACCGGACGACGAGACCGACGACCCACCGAGACCCCGACCGAGACCGAGACCGAGACGAGACCGAGACCGACCGAGACCGACCCCCGACCGAGACGACCGAGACCGACCCCGACCGACCCCGAGAGACCGACCCGACCGAGACCGAGACCGACCCCACCGAGAGACCGACCCCCACCGAGACCGACCGAGACATGACCAGAAGTCTGACCGCGGTGTGTGCGTGTCTGTGTGTATGTCTTCGTGTGTCTGTGTGTGTGTGTGTCTGTGTGTGTGTGTGTGTGTGTCTGTGTGTGTGCGTGTCTTCGTGTGTGCGGTCTTCGTGTGTGTATGTCTTCGTGTGTGTGCGTGTGTGTGTGTGCGTGTCTGTGTGTGCGTGTCTTCGTGTGTGCGTGTCTGTGTGTGTGTCTGTCTTCGTGTGTGTGTCTGTGTGTGTGTATGTCTTCGTGTGTGTATGTCTTCGTGTGTGTGTCTGTGTGTGTGTATGTCTTCGTGTGTGTGTGTCAGATGCAGACTCGTGTGCAGCAGCCGCCTCATCAGATGGTCCAGTTGCAGCTCCAGCCTCTTCACATGGTCCAGCAGCATCCCCAGGGCCCCCACGCCCAGGGCCCCCACAACCAGGGCCCCCACAACCAGGGCCCCACACCCAACCCCCCCACACCCAGCCCCCGCACAACCAGCCCCCCCACAGCCAGCCCCAGGGCACTTTGGTCACGCCCCACGGCCCGCAGCAGGGAGCTCTGGGCCCCCCCCTCGCGCAGCCCCAGAGCGGCCTGGGAGCTCCTCACGGCCAGCAGCAGGGGGCGCTAGGAGCTCCTCACGGCCAGCAGCAGGGGGCGCTAGGAGCTCCTCTGTCGCAGCAGCAGGGGGCGCTAGGAGCGGCTCACGGGCCCCAGCAGAGCCTCGGGCCCCAGGGGATGGGCCAGAGTCTGAACCCAAACCAACAGCACGTGAACATGGGCCTGACCCCCCAACAGCAGCAGCAGCAGCAACAGCACAAGATGGCCTTCCAGGTGAGACACACACCTGTCCTCTCAACGCCACGCCCACACAGGAAGTGTTCATCTGTATGATCAGGCTCCATGGACTCTGGCTCCAGTTCAGTTTGTGTGTAAAAGCCAGACTCTTCTTGACCTGCACCTGTCAGACTCCTCTCTCTCTCTCTCTCTCTCTCTCTCTCTCTCTCTCTCTCCCTCTCTCCCTCTCTGACCGCTGCCTCGATGAGCTTCATTTGACTGTAGCTGAATTGTGGTGACGTCACACTGTCTCCATCCTCTTACACAGTGTGAGAGCCCCGCGCACACAGAGAGGACCTCACAGAGCATAGGGTGTAGGGAGCATTCACACCAGGTCCTGGGTCTCCAATAAACGACCCGCGGGCCAAATCCGGACCGAGTGGATCCGGACTGGCCCCCCGAGACCAGTTCAGATTCATTAGGTTAGGTGACGGCGGCGGCGGCGGGGGCATCCCCGTGCCGTGTGGCGGCGTCACGAGCCCTGAGATTGTTGTTTGTTTCAGAATCGGCCCAGTCTGCAGCAGCAGCAGCAGCACCAGACGCAGCTCAGCGCTCAGGTGAGACCACACCCCCGATGCCCTTTGACCCCTGTCTTTACCTTTACACCTAAACATGAGATAAATGTGAGATACACACGAGACAGAACCACAGACCTCTGTGTGACCTCTGTGTGACCTCTGTGTGACCTCTGTGTGACCCTGTGTGACCTCTGTGTGACCCCTGTGTGACCTCTGTGACCTCTGTGTGACCTCTGTGTGACCTCTGTGTGACCCTTGTGTGACCCTGCAGCAGGGGGCTCGTGCTGGGATGCCTCTTCAGACCCGGATGCCTCGTCCTCCTCTCCCTCCTCAGGGGGGCGCCGTGGGACAGACGACCATGACCCCACAGGTGACCCCCCCCACACACACACACACACACACACACACACACACACACACACACACACAGAGACACACACACACACACACACACACACACACACACACACACACACACACACACACACACACAACACACAACACACAACACACACACACAGAGACACACACACACACACACACACACACAGACACACACACACACACAGACACACACACAGAGACACACACACACACACATGCAGACAGAGACACACGCAGACAGAGACACACACACACACACACACACACAACACACACACACACACACACACACACACACACACACACACACACACACAGACACACACACACACACACACACACAGAGACACACACACACACACACACACACGAGACACACACACACACACAGAGACACACACACACACACAATACACACATACGCATACACACACACACACGCATACACAACACACAGACACACACACACACACAGAGACACACACACAGACACACACAGAGACACACACACACACATACAGACAGAGACACACACACACACAGACACAGACACACACACACACACAGACACACACAGAGACACACACAGACAGAGACAGAGACACAGACACACACAGACAGACACACACAGACAGAGACACACACAGACACAGAGACACACACAGACAGAGACAGAGACACAACAGAGACAGAGACACACACAGACAGAGACAGAGACACACACACACACACACAGACACACACACACACACACACAGACACACACACAGACACACACACACACACACACAGACACACACAGACACACACAGAGACACACACACACACACACCTCTCTCTCTCTCTCTCATGTCTCTCTGTTTTCTTGGTCAGGTCCCGCAGCACGCCATGATGTCATCGCCCTCGCCGCTCCAGGCCCAGACCCCCCAACCCATGCCCCCCCACCACAACCCTCACCCCAGCCCCCCTCCTCCCAGCCCAACTCTGTCAGGTGAGCAGAGGGCACCTGACACACCTGACACACAGGGAGGGCACCTGACACACCTGACACACAGGGAGGGCACCTGACACACAGGGAGGCAGCACACACCTGACACACCTGACACACAGGGAGGGCACCTGACACACAGGGAGAGCACCTGACACACCTGACACACTGACACACAAGGGAGGCACCTGACACACTGGACACCTGACACACAGGGAGGCACCTGACACAGCACCTGAAGCACGGGAGGGCAGCCTGACACACAGGGAGGGCACCTGACACACCTGACACACAGGGAGGGCACCTGACACACCTGACACAGGGAGGGCACCTGACACACAGGGAGGGCACCTGACACACAAGGGAGGGACCTGACACACAGGGAGGGCACCTGACACACAGGGAGGGCACCTGACACACCTGACGCACAGGGAGGGCACCTGACACACAGGGAGGGCACCTGACACATCTGACTGTTTGTGTTTCAGCTCTGGCCCCGGCCCCTCGCCATCTGGCGTGTTCCAGCCGAGCCCCTCCCCTCAGCCGGCGCAGAGCCCGTCCACCGCACGCACGCCACAGAGCTACAGCGTGTCCTCGCCAGGGACCCTCAACACGCCAGGTACCACACACACAC